CAAAATTGAGTCGAATTAAACATCGACTGTCCTCATTTATCACATAATCGATGTCATTATCAACAATAATTAAAAAGCAGCAGCAGCAGCAATTTAAAAATACGAAGATAATGACTAAGACACCGTTGATCTATAAAAAACATTACAATTAATTTTACGCGATATAATTTTTAAAAGTATTATATTTTAAACTTTAAAAATAATTCAAATACTAAAAGTTGACCATTTTAGAACATTTTGCTTTGTTTTTGCAAAAAAAAAATAATTGAAAAAAATCGGTAAATTGCGTCACCAAAAAGTTATTAAAATTGTACAATATGTGTCATTGACTTAATTCTATTCTAATTACTATATATGTATATCTAATTACAATTAAAAAAAATAAACAATCTTTTATGGTATATTATTAAATAATATTATATTATTATAGTTAAAACTCTCTCTCTCTCTCTCTCTCTCTCTCTCTCTCTCTCTCTCTCTCTCTTTCTTTTTCTGTCTAATGCCTTCCAAAAGGTTTAACAGTTTTTAATGAATAAATAATAAAGCACGATATTAAGCTTCCATAATATTGTCCACTATGACAAAATGATCGATATGCATATTATTGATTCACTGTATAATACATATGTCATACACATCGTTATCGCAGGTAATCGTAAATCGCTCGCTGAAAATTCCGAGCATCTAATCGATAATACGTTATGTCACACCGACATTCTAGAAGATAATATACATATTTTATAACATTTCCCATTTCTGTGTAATGTAAATACCGTAATAATATACGTAAAATATAAATTCTTCTTTGATAATATTCTTTATTAAAGATTAAATACATTTATTAGAAAATGCAAACATAAATTCGAATTATTTTTTTTTAGTAGTATACAGATTATTCTTCAAAAATCTAAAAAGCATACGTTTAATAATTTTAACCAAGATTTTAAAAGTTTCAGTATATTTGTACGATATATTCATTGATGACTAAACTTCCTTCTATTCATAGAAATCTTTTGCTGAAAAATGTATTCCTGTCTATTATCTTTTTTATTTTTCAACATTACTACATTGTGGTGAATGTTTTATTTTATTTTATATTAGATATTTTTATATCTCATTATATGATATTCTGAATATTTTATTACGTGTACCTAACTATAGTATATAATTAACAATACAAATATTAAATCATTTCAAATATTTGACAAAAATTCCGAATTATTTTAAGTAAAATTCAAAACGAAAAATTGTTTAAATCCTGGAAATTTTAAATGTTTGAAAATTTTTCTAAATATTTCAAAAATATAGTTTATTTTCTTGTAATATCGTACTATTAGGTATTGGAATTAATTCGTAGCGTTTTACAAGTGATGGGAAGTACTTTCATTAATGTATTTTTTAATGCTCATGTGAAATAAATAACATTCTTTCATTAAAAAACGCTACGAATTAATTCCAACACCTAATATTTTTCAATTTGTTTTTTATTTTATTCTATGAACACAGACATTTAGATAAAACTCTATACTTTAAAGAAAAACATAAGAGATATATATATATATAATATATATAGTATACATAACAAAACATTTTTTTTAATATTCAAATATATTTGACAGTAATATACAACTATCAAAATTTTTTAAGTTTCTTAAAACTTAAGAATTCCTTGTTTCAAATAATATTTAAAGTCATTTAAATAATCACGTGATTAAATTATTTGATAAGTTTCAATAATAGAATTTAAAAAAAGATTAATCGTCACTAATTACAATATACTATTATATCATAAAATATTTATAAAATTATATAATATATTACATTTATTTATTAGTCCAAGTCATAGCATTATCCATAAAATATTTCAAAATTATGTTCTGAAGCTGATTGGTTTCCATCAGTTTCCCCTTGGAAAGACAATAACTCGGTGATGTGCGGTCACGAGGAACAATGATGTTTTAAGTCAAGATCGCATGGATGACATCGCAGATGTTTGGACGAATGACAGACAGTGAATCGTGACAGGTGCAGAAACGAGATAATTCGATAGTTCTCGCGATATTTTTAGATCGTTCCACAGTTAAGACGATAAACTTCCCGAAAAAGGATTGCAATCGAGATCTCTGACGCTAAATTTTTTTCACACTTTATTTTGAACTAATCATTTAATATGGACGTTAAATTCTCTTCTGAATAATTCACGCAACGATACGTAATTGCAGCATATATAAATATCATAATATATGTATAATGTTATATCATTGTACATTTATGTTATGCTAATATATTGTCATAGACAATATATTATATATATATATATAAAATTTTAATTATAAATATATGTAATTGAAAAAACATC